GTGATAAGTCTCAGATTATCTTATTTGAATGGATCAACCCAAGAGCAGACCGTGAAATACAGGTGGTCCTTGACTTACAACAGTTCATTTAGTTACTGTTCAAAGTTCACGGCACTGAAAAAAGTGACTTAAGTGTAAGGTTCTCCCCTTCAAACGATAAGAATAACAGCACGGGCTTCAAAACTCTCTCCCCTTCAACGATAAGAATGAACTTCTGAAAACTGGCTACTTCAAAAGGAATTCTTTATTGAAAAGGAAGTTATCCAGGTGGTAGTCAAAGCAGGGTCTAATATGCCTCCAGGCATACAACATAGATAAAGGGAGTTAGAACCCCTCCCCTTATTCTGATATGGATTTCCTCAATACAAAGAAGCAACATGTTAATCCTACCCCCTTTTGTTCTGAGAGTGTACTTGGGAAAAGTTTCCCAGGAAGTTTCTTTCGGAGCTGGAAATTTTATGGTCCCTTCTCCTCTTGCTATCTCTCCAAGAGGTGACAAGTTTCCAGGCATCTGGGCTCCAGTCCCCAGTTGTATATCATGTCCAAGTTATACAGATTTCAATACAAGACTTAAGATATTAAAGTTACATCAAAAAAGGATTACTTGTGCCAACCCCCCCCCCTCACCTTCTTCTTCCATTGAAGAATAGGAGATACACGGACCTGACATTCAGAACATTTTTCACACTTATGACCATTGCAGCATCCCCATGGTCATGTGATTTACATTTGGATGTTTGACAACTGATTCATATTTATGATGGTTGCAGTGTCCCTGGGGTCACGGGATCCCTTTTTGTGGCCTTTTGACAAGCAAAGTCAATGGGGAAGCCAGATTCACTTAACATCCGTGTCACTAACTTAACAATTGCAGTGATTCACTTAACAAATGTAGCAAGAAAGGTCGTAAAATGGAGCAAAGCTCACTTTACAAACTTTTCACTTAGCAACATAAATTTTGGGCTTAACTGTGGCCGTAAGTCGATGACTACCTGTATTTCCTTTCCACACTGGAAAACAACCCTTGAAGGTAGAAAGTTTTGCCGAAGCGTCTTCCTGTTTGCTATATCTTTGGGTATTAGAGGCGGAAATCAAAATTCTGCAAGTAAATGTGGCTTTGGGGGGTAACGTCCAACCCCTGCTTTCCTAAGAGTCTACATCACGCAGGTGTGTCCTTCAAGATATATTTTATCTTCATGAGTCAAAGTTAGGTAGACACCCCATTGGCCCCCAAACATTTTTGTCTATAGGCTCAGTTTCCATACTGAGCTATTCATTTCCCAGTAACAAATCCATTTTTTTAAACTAGCAAATCCATATTTTAAAAAAATAAGATAAAGGAGGGGAAAGAGGCTATTTAGAACTCCATTATTGAAAGAATGTTCAATTTTGCACTGCTGGAAAGCATGCTATTGTTTAAACCGAAAAATAGCCGGCTTATTTTATTTTGGGAAGAGAGAAATACTCAGCTCCTCAAAATGCATAGAAATGGCTTCCCTGTTCCTGTAATCAAAGAGATATTTTATACATGGCAGAGATTCATGAGCGTCTTGATTGTTTTCAGATGTCTAGCTTGTCCATTGGTGAAGGTATCAGGCTCCCCTTTGGTCTGGTCATTCATCATCCTTTTGTTCTAGAAGACAATGTGCCTTTGAAACACATTGACTAGCAAACAAACCTCCTTATTCTCCGTTGTTGTTGGTGGGCCCTGATCATCTGTTGATGTTGAACATGAACCTGGTAACCATTGAAACAAAGAATGGAAACATCTGGGCTTCAGGATTTCTACTTAGTTATTGCTTCTCTTCCATCAGCTCATAGGCCCTTGTCATATATGCTTTGTTTTCTGCAGAGGCAATTCAGAAGGAAGCTGCGGTGACCTCAGAGGATCCAACAAGGGACCAGGAAGATGTGCCAGCCCCCAGCCCTCCTTCTGAGGATCCAATTAACGTTACAATCACAGTGACAGCCACCCCATGACCACTAGTAAACCAGACACTTTAGCACTCAAGGTAGGATAGGTTGGTTAAAGATCTCCTTGATCAGCAAAAGAAAGAAAGAAGCACAGGGAACAACTGTGGCGCACTGGAGAACCTGGGAGTGTCATTCCAGTTTTTGTGTTATGCAAGACCTTTCTAAAAAGGACCTCGGAAAAGTGAGAGACCATTTCCGAAGAGATTTCATTGTCACCCACAGAACCAAAGTGCATCTTTGAGTAAGAGCTACTTGCAAATAGATAGATAGATAGATAGATAGATAGATAGATAGATAGATAGATAGATAGATAGATAGATAGATAGAAAGGGCGTTTTTCTGTAAACTGACAAACTGGCAATGGCAGGCAAGTTACAATATGGGATCAGGCATAATAAGCTAGAAAACTTTGAAGCAATATATTTTCCTGGGATTGCAGATGCTGCAGAGATCACAGCTGGGTTACTGAAACAGAACTCATAGATCAACAAATGCTGAACTTTTTTATAAGAGCCTTGTACATTTTTGGTGACTCTGTTAAGCTGTTTCATGCTCTGGTATTGGACATATCTTGTTTTCTTAGGGATGGAAAACTCAAGTGCTTGAATTGCATGGATGTAAGATGAGCCCATGCTGTTTTGAAGCTTTTCCTCGTTTGACTTCACCATCCTAAGATACAACAGATAAATTGAATTAAATGGGTGTTTAAATACTCCAGAATGAAAGCTCATCACCCCATTGTTCATCATTTCACAGGGCCTGGTGTATACATTGCATTATCTAATTGTGTCTAATTAAGTTTTTGTCTAATTGAAGGAGAAACCACCAGGTCCAACCAGTCACTGTTGAATTACAGCAACCATAAATACGATAACATAATGATGTGTGCAAATAGAAAATTGAGATTTCACACTCACTCTGGTTTTTGAAAAGGGTATCATGTTTCAGATAAGGAGGTTGGAAACTACATACATATTTAAGTTCATGTCTATGTCCTCTTTTTGTTTTTATTGAGCCTTAAGCCAAGCTTAGAAAGGCAAGTTATGCATTCTCTCAAAAAGGTTTGTGTCCAGCATTGGGACATTCACAAATATGTCTCAACAACACAGACATTCCTAACTTCCTATTGCAATATGTGCAGAGCACACTTCTGGGAATGACCACAACCTGGTTGAAGCAATTGAAATGGGGAAGATATGGAACCTGTGTCTTTTAGTTCCAGCATCTTTCATTCCTAAGTCTTCTAAGGTTGCTAGTAATTAGTTGTTCAGCAATATTTTATTTAATTTATATTGCTGCCTATTCGCCCATGGGAACTTGAGGCGGCCTACACAATGTAAAACCATATTTAAAACAAAAAAGAAAAATATACGTCGCTCAATCAACAACCAATAATGTAGGACTAGATATTTTTCCAATGTATTCTTTACTGAATGAAGAAAATGAGGCTGCTTTTTCCAGATTAATCTTTTTCCACAGGAGGTTAACTGCTTATTTTTTCACATTCCAACCCATTCTTCTTGTAAAACGATAACTTAGCATCATGATGGGAATTGCCAAGTCATAAGCACCCATCCCATTTTATCTGCCAGGGAGTCTTTGCATTATGATGTTTTAGTGTGTTGGTTTTTGTGGAAGGCAGCCGCCAAGCCCTGGACAGCTGGAATAATGAATCACCTCAGCAAACAATGCCTGTGGGGTGGTTTAGTCATCTGTTGACCTGATGGATGAGTGGGGCAGGGATGTATTCATTCACCATATCTCCGCTTGTTACCACAATTTAATACACAGTGCTGGCTCCTTTGTATGGAGCAACTTTTCCAATACATCAACCCTTCACAATTGAACATTTAGATCAGGGGTACCCAACCTTAGCGGCTTTAAGACTTGTGGACTTCAACTCTCAGAATTCCCCAGCTGGCTGACTGAGGAATTCTGGGAGTTGAATCCCACAAGTCTTAAAGTTGCCAAGGTTGGACACCCCTGATTAAATGTTTGGTTGCTCTAGTTAATAACTCCAATAGATTCAGTCACACTTGTAAAGCAGTGGTTCTCAACCTTTTCTTCACCGCGGATCTTTAATTACCTTTTGTGGCCACTAACCAAGACTTAAGATTTAAATCACGACATTTCTTCAAGTCTTTGTGAATTCCTTGTGATGACATCGCCACCCCCAGGTCGATAACCACTGTTGTAAAGCATGTATGTTGGCAAAAATATATATAAATCTATGGTCCCTGGAGTTGGACAATAGCTGTTTTGTCCCAAAATGTGCTACAATTTCATTCCATTTAAGAATATGGAAGGGGGATGTTTCCATGGGGTATAATTCAGTTCACCACTGGCATGCACCTGGGAATACCTCAACCCTGCTTGTAAAAGTTACAAGAATCATGTCAGAGCTGTAAATACTCCACAAGTCAATAAAGAAACTAGTTGTTAGATGAGGGTGGAAAAAAGACGAGGCAACTGAGGGGAAAGGGGAGAAAGTCATGGTAAAATGAGGGGACCACATTTGCAGGATTTTATTGTGCCTTCTCCCAAATCAGTGAGAGTTAAGATAAAATGGATACCTCATTAAAGATGATCATAGGACATCTTGATTCATTTGGACAAATAGATCCTGAACACGATTTTCCTCCTTTTGAGATAGGCTGCACAGCTGCTATTTATCTCTCAAGGGGAGATAAAATTAGACCAGGGATCTGCAAACTTGGCCACTTGTGGATTCAAACTCACAGAATTCCTCAGGCAGCCTTGCAGGCTAGGGGATTCTAGGAGTTGAACATCACAAGTCTTAAAGTTGCCATGTTTGGAGAGCCCTGCATTAGACAATAGAAAGGTCAAAAGAAAGGTCAAAAGAAAACTGGGGGTGTATGATTTGAAACATTAATTAACAAGGTTTTTTAAAAAATGAAACTTGTGTGAACTTTCCATTCATTGCATAAGGATACAGTTGTTTTAAATAAGACTGCAACAAGAAACAGCAATAGCAATAATTCTCATATCAGACCATTAGACAGGACCAGTGTTATTCTCTTTAATATTATAAACACAAAGAAAATTCTGCTCAAACCTACAATATTTAAACATTTGTACAGTTTTTTTAAAAAAGAATATTACAACTTTTAAAAGAAAATATAACATTTTTATATGACAAAAAATACATGCATCTTTAAATTTAAATTAAATTGCAAAATCAAAGTAAACTGAAATAATATGTTTTGCTTAATCAGTGATACTTTATTTAGTGAAGTGACTTTTCAAAGACCGGAGGGGAAAGCTCTGAGAATATTTTTTGAATCTGTGTAGCTAGATCGCACACCTTCAGGAAAACAGTTCAATTTAAAACCATATTGCACCAAAACCACCTGTTACATAAGTCAGTTACACAGATTTTAACGGGACAAATTCCCAATAGCTATTGTGTACAGGCATTAACAACATGCAACGAGTAGAGTTGACCCAACTACTTCAAACCAGTGGCTTTACCTAGCCATTGTATCAGGATAACACGGATCTTGACCACATAATTAGAAATCGCTCTGTCAATTCACCTCATTCTTAGTCAAACTCAAAGGTGAACAAAATGTGTGTTGAATGCATTCTGGACAAAAGCTCTGCAATAAACATTTCTTATAGAGTTGCATATTTGCATCTTTTTTTATGAGGATCAATGAGAAATTCTCTATGAGATACAGCGTTTAAATTCTGCTGCAATATATTTCGATAGTAAATTCTGCAAATGAGCTAACACCATGCCACAATTCAAAGGATATCTAATACGGATGAAGACGCTAGAGAAGTTAACAATTGAACAAGATTTGTACTGGGATCACAGTGTTCAAACTGGAAGAAGGAAAAAGAGCTTACACAAGAGGTCCCAATTCTCACAGAAGAGTTTAGCGATTTTGAAAAGCCATTACAACTTAAAACACTGTCAAATGAGATTGTCCGACCGGTTCTTGGGCAAAACAGTCCAATCCAAAACTAAATAGGGGAATGAGCATTTAGATTTCAGGAACTTATCACCTGTACATGTTTTCTAACATTTATATGCATCTATAATTGGAAGGAACACAAATTTCCCCTATAATATAAAGACAATATATAACTTTTATAAATAAAATACAATAAGAGGGAAAAACACTTAAAACAGTGTCACAATATAAGAAAAAGAATTCTTGATGAGATTCTGTTAAGGGAGAGCCTGACATTTCTCCACCTTCAAATAATAATATCATCTCTTACGTTATCTGGATCAAATGGGCTCTGTAAAGATGGAACTAATGGAAGCAACTTGCTGCCAAGTATTTTGACAATCTGGCTGGCCAAATAGACTTCTCCTATCTCAACCAGCAGGGATGCTGGTCCCACCCTCATCTAGCATACAAGGTTGTGACCTCATTTCATAGAACATTGAAAAATAATTTCTAAAACCTTTCCAAATTAATTGTATAAACAAATAGCAAACAATCCATCTCTGTAAGTTTCAATGTAAAGCAAACAGCATTTTGCATCAAAACCCTATCTTGCATAGCAACCTATACCCACACAGCAAATTCTCATAAGGGAATCATATTTATAAAATTATATCATTTACATTATATAAAATAATCACACGCTATATATACACACGGCACTTGATATCTGCTGCAATAGTTATAAAAAATATAGAGCCCATTTTTAATCACACACATATACAAACGCACACACACATACACACACACATTATTCAGTGTGGCCAGTGGTACTGCTGGCACCACTTTTTGTCTTCTAGAACAGATTTTTAATTTTATTATGGCATTATTGCCCTTGGTAGCAGCCATGCTCCTCTGGGTTTATTTTTCATTCCTTGCTCCAATTATAAAATCAATCTTTACTGCTTGGGCCAACTGCACTTTTAGAACCCGGTGTCTCTGATTATTAGATATTTCACCTTGTATACGTACTGGTTAAAATTGAAAGGGGAAGAGGATTTACATAGCTATTCTCCTGATGCACGCATCATTTTTGTACAAATGAAGGACAAATTGGACTATCGTTAACAGCACTGGATGCCTTGGGTAAGGCAGCAAAGGAAACAGGGTTAATATTTCTGATCTTGCACCACAACTTTCCAGGTTGTGTAAAAGTTGGGATGAAGTTCTGAAGAGCAACATGTAGAGAAGTTAATGTACTCTTAGCATTTATTTCAAAAATGGCATGAAATGTAAATACTGACTACTACAGATGGAAGTTCCAAATACTCCCCCTGACTTGCAATCAGCTAGGCTAATAAAGCAACCTTAAAGCAAGAGAAACTCTTTGCTTTCTTTAAAAAGAGAAAGAAAAGAAAGGATATTTTCATTCGAGCACATTTCTGCCAATTTTCTTATATCACAATTACATGCCAAGTTCTTCTTTACCTTTTCTTCCCCTAGCTTATGTTTTGCACAACACACTACTATATCGTGAGAAAAAAGTAACACAATATATGTAACAAGTGAACAGTATTGTATGTGAGACACACCAAGGGAACCAAAAGATAAATTTAAAAACATTTAGAATAAAAACAAAGGACAATGCTACAGAATAGCCACATTCAAGTGTTCCCTTATTGTTGAGCAGGTGGCTATAAATGCTACTGTCATTTTTGTTGTTGTTGTGACAATAATGCAAGGCCTGCCTTGTTCCTCTTGCTATCAACAAACCAGCCTAAGAAGAACTATATACTTTTAATACATTCACTTACATAAGCCTAACTGCCAATCAGAAAGACTTTGCTGGAACAACTGACAATCATTCAGCATCAAATGAATCAACAAGTCCAGATGTTATGATTCCACTAATAGCTTGTAATTTTTGAGACAAGCTGGGATTCTTCTATCTGATTCATACCACTTAGCTATATAATCATAAGCTGCAGTCCAACCTGGGCCTCCGGTTCTCACTCTTGTGTCTATTTGCTAAAACCTTTACATCAAACTGCAACACTAATTTTCCAATGGTCACTGTCCAAGGAAGATATCATCTATAACAGTGTTTCTCAACTGTGGCACATTGAAAATGTGTAGACTTCAACTCCCAGAATTCCCCAGCCAGGTCTTCAAGATGCCAAGGTTGAGAAACACTTGTCTATAGTATCATCAATCGTCACAATGATTTAATTCAGGGAGGTATGGGGAATTGGTTTTTCCGGAGTTAAATAATACACAACAGCAAAAGGGCATTTTGAAACATACATTCATAGGACACTGCATCTCAAAATGAAAAATAAATAGTGATTCTAATAATTAATATTTTTGCTGTCTGTCCCTTCAGACAGCAATTCTGCTGTGCAGTTACTGGCTTTGCTGGGGTATCAAGGACGGCCATTCTTTAAGTCTCTTGTATTTGGAGCTGTTGATGTCCCCCCAAACTGTCCAAGGTAACACCCCCGTTTGAAATCACCTCAGTCTTTTCATGACAGTGTTTTGAAATCGGCCGATGAAAAAGGGGGCTCCAGTTTAAGGTGGCATCAGATGTCTCCAGATGTGCACTGGGTTCTGCAAAGGGAGAGAACAATGATCAGCATCTGTTTGTCAGCTACCTGAGCAAAAGATTTATGCAAGTCCCAGCTGGCTGCCATTTACTGAATGTCACTATTTCATCTCCCACTGATGCCATTTTGTGCAGCATCTGGCTAAGAATCCAATCTAATTATAGCTGGTGAAATGCAGAAGTACAGCTAAAGATATCCTTAGAAGTTTTTTTTAAAAAAATCAGGTCTGTGATTGGAATCAATCAATCAATCCTCACAGCCTAAGCAAAAGAGAAAGGCAGAGGAAATTTCTTTTGTAAAAGCTCCTTATTTTGCAAAGCACTGTTAGGTATGCCGAGTCAGAACCACAAAATGTATTTGTTTGTCCTTACACGAATTCTGATTTCTCTGTGGGTGAATTAAAATATTTTAGTTATAAAAAATGCCAGCACTATACCAGTTTGGGGCAGGGGTTAAGGCATCAAACTAAACATTGGGAGACCATGAGTTCTAGTCTCACCAAAGGCACAAAGCCAGCTGGGTGATTGTGGGCCAGTCACTTTCTCTCAGCCCTAGGAAGGAGGCAACGGCAAACCATTTCTGAAAAACGTGCCAAGAAAACTGCTGGGAACTTGGCCAGGCAGTGTCCATGAATCAAGACACCATTGAATAGGAGAGAAAAAAAATATATACAAATGATCTAAGAGATAAGAACTGTAAAAGCTTCTTGGATGAGAAGCGAAACATCTTCAAGGAAAAACAAAGTAAGTCCAGTTGCCTTTTGAAAAAAAGCTCCCTTGGGACAACTGTGGCTTGGATGACTGAAAATCTCCACAAACATTAAGAAAGAAGCACATTTTCCCATTTTTTCTGACATACCTGATGTACAATTGAATGGGCTCACATTTTCTTGGCCATAAGAGTCTTGATGTGATGGCGACTCTGCCTTCTCCTTGTCATTTTCCTCAGTCTCAATGCTGCATCCAGGGACTGTGGATGCCAAGCACATGGCCACAATCATGTGATTTAATGGTTTCATTTCTAGGCTGTCTTGCTGATAAGGTGCCATCCTGGGCATCACTGGCACAGAACTATTGCCAAAATTGCCACTGGTTTTAGTGAAACACCTATAAATACTCAGGCCAAGACAAAATAACATAGATCAGAATACATATCATGTTTCACTGACCAATATCTTTATTTCGTCAAACTATTTCTATAATGCTTGCTGTGCACTCATCACCAGGAAATATACAACATGCACATGCCTCTGTATAATCATTCACCTGCAATGAATAGTAGATCTGTAGTAAGTTACCAAATGTCAAAATTAATAATGCATTCAATCCATAACTAAGATATGTAAGGCCAGCAAAAGCTGTGTCTTATTTCAGTTTATATAAGAGTATTTAAGTAAATTCTGGGTTAGATGTTGGTTAGGACATTAATGACTAACATTAAAATCTTAAACTTGGTTTAGCAGCACAAGCATCTACAAAATGCTTATTATTACAATTATTAATGTACATAATGGCGAATATGCTTTACTGGCCAAGTGTGATTGGACACACAAGGAATTTCTGCGTCCAATAACAAGTACTATTTTATACTTCTTTTCAAGAGCTTATCTTGATCATTTTTACTGGGGTAATTTGGGCAATATAACTAGGGATTTGATTGTTTGCTATATTTGCCAGTTTGCTCTCCAAATTGGAAAACCTGCTGCTGACAGAATTTCATTCATGATGACATTCTTCTCCACTGTAAACCTAGAAAGTGAGAACATGCTTATTGATTCTTCCCAAGAAAGATACTTTGATAATTCTCTCTTATTCTGGATTGTGAACAGCTAGTCAAGCAAAGAAGGAAGTCAGTTTCTTATTGCTGAAGCTACTCAGCTTTTGAACAAAAGGAAACAACAAAAAAGGCAACTTAACAACCCAAATCCTTTGTAGGCATGCTAGCTGTAATCCAAAGTTTTGGGAAGCTGCCAGTACTTTAAACATTTGCAGCTGGATCATCACTTCCAAAGACATGAAGGCAGTTATCAAGTTGTTTTCTCAGCATTCACAGTAAATGCTAACAAGCACTTTACTTTATTATTGGTGATTAAACATAAATTTAGTGAAAAACCACATCACAGTTATATCTATTTAGGGAAGATGTCAGAACTGTTGCATAAAGCATAAGGTCCAGAAACAATAAGTATCTTAAATGATTATATAAGTAAATGCTGGATCTAACAAAATAATCTGGAATGATCACTCTGGATTTTGTATTTATCTTTACACAAAATATGAAGTCATATTCATCCTACAGATTTGTTTGTTGTAAAAATGCTAGACAGCAGTTCACAGATTATTTCAAGGCTTTCAAATAAGCCATTTAACAACACCTTCCCATTTGTTTTTAAAAAGTGGGTGAATTCTGATTTATTCAAGATGCTTGCTACAATTTTTAGCAGATGAGAACCAACAGACAAGATAAAAGAGATGGGAACTCGGGGAGAATATAAAGTGAGGAGTATGGATATTAATTCATTATGCAAAGATGATGTCCATGTGGGGCAAAATGCAGCACCCTAACTTTAACCATTACATCAAAAATTCTCGTAGTTTTCCATCTTTAGGTTAGCTCTAAACAGATACACAGAACTCACTTAAGATGCAACATGTAGAATTTTGAGTATTTTATGTAGTATTGCAAGAACAAAACAAAAACAAAAAACTGACTTTTGGCTGCCAAGCCAAGTTGGCACATTTTAACTTTCATTTTTTTCCACCCAGTGAGCTCTGAACATGAACCATAATCCAACACCTTACATTTTGCACCATGTAAAACCCTCAACTTTCAGTTTGATTTAATGGAAAAGTGACAATGCAACTCCCTGTATGTGCCTGGTGTGCTAGGTGCTGTGGGACCGCAGTAAACAACATCTAAATAAAAGTATAATTTATAACACGGGCAACAAGCACAGATTGCACAATCCCAAGATTGTTATTATATGAGTCTTCAATGCAGAAAAATGAGGTTGCCTTGTGAAATATTAAGAAAAAAAGAAACAACTATTGACAGAATGTTACTATTTCATTTTATAGTCCATCAATCCATTTTAGGTTATGTGCTTACTTAAACTGAAGCAAAATAGAGGCTCATATGTAAAAAGTTAGTTTTTGTATGTTTCTCATGGAAGAGAAAAAAATGGCTCAACTCTGCTATAAACAAGCGTTAAAAGTATTTGCATAAAGTTTTTTCCCTTACTGCATGAGCAACTAAGCTTAAAATATACAGCCAACACAAGGCACGCATTTTATAATCTACAAAGCGGAACTATTATTCCACGTTTATTTTGAACAGGATGACTAGTAAAATAGTGGTGTTGAACCACAAATATTGAGTTTATTTGGTTTAAGGGACAGCCATGCACTACATGAGACCAAAGCGCTCCTTCTGGGAATTCTTTATGGTTTCTGAGACAGTTCATAACTTCAGGGCTGGCCATTGTGGTTAAAACCTGCTAATGGGAAACTGGAAAAATGGGTGGGACCTAAGCCTTATAGGGTCATCTTTCTGAACGGAGTAAGATTTCTTCATGCAGGGCAAGCTTTCTATGGAGCAACTTCTGGACCATCAACAGAAAGTTTGCAGTGGGGAAGGAAAAGCTGAAGCCTTTAACTTTAAGCTCAGGCTCTTGCTTTATAATCTTGTTGCTGGAGGAGAGCAAAAGGATCTGGAAGTAGCTTTCAGAAAAGAGTGAAGTTGGGACAACCACTGTGGATAATATTATATCCAGCCTAACCACTCGCTCAAGAACCAGCCCATAAGGCGGGATACTATTTTTATGCTTCCTTGCAATTCAGGGCATGCAAGACTCTTCTCAGAGCAAAATCTCCCTGCTTCTGTCAGGCCATTTCCATTTCAATATTGCAAGGAATGTGCCAGATTGCGCTGCTTCCTATATAAAGAAATGGCTAATTTCATGAAGAAATGTGCCCATAACTGACAAAGCTGAAATTTGGTTGCATCTTGTAGTTCAGCCCAGATTTGGAGTCAGCTGGCATCAAAATTGAATAAATAAAATAGTTCAAGCAAATCCTGCAGTTGATAAATGTCTGTGTAGCACAAAACTGCCCTCAGTAAGTATAATTGACTAAAACTAGCTCTGTGCTTAAAACTGAAGGAATTTAAATTTTTTGAGGCAGGAAGGTTTCCAGGTAGCCGGTTTCTAGAAACCATTTAGTATTTTCTACATGTAAACCTGGAATAGTAATAATGCAAATATCAAGATGCACTTGCTAGACACATAGTTGGGATTGCTAATCTGTGTAGGCTCAAATTCAGAGTTCCAAATGTCTCTTTGATCTCTTTAGCTTGATTACCTGTTATTATTCCAGCAGTTCCTGCAATTGGCATACTCTGAAGGATCTGTTTGAGGGACTGATGTATATACTTCACCACCCTGCACGATGGAGGAATTTGAAAATCAAAATAAGGAATCACAAATGAATAGTAAGTGAAAATTAAACAAGCAGGCACAGTTACATATCCCACAATATTCATAGAGATGAGCAATTATGGTAACTTTATAACCTGTGGACTACAACTCCCAGAATTCCTGAGCCAGCATGGTCCTAAAGTTGCAAAAGTTGCCCATGACTGTGCTAAAGGAAAATGTTATGACTTAGACATACATGTACATCATCATTTTCTTGGCCTTATTTTCAGTTTGAACCGCCCAAGTTTAATTTGAAGAAAGAAGTGAAAATGCTACTGATGACAGATATGAAGAAGATTTTTATTCACTGGAAACTACTGTCTGTTGGTGGAGACAGGATGTTGCTTGTGTGACTGATGAAATACAATCAATGTCACAGTTTCTTCCAATTATTCCAATTAGATCAGCTTGCCTGGCTAAACTCTGGGTTTGAAATTCGCTAATATTTTTACAGATGCATTAATTTGTCAGCCAAAAGAGATGGAGAAGGCAGGCAAGGGGATTTCTGAGCTCTTGGTTTTGGCTGTACAATCTTTGCAAATAAAAACAAACAAACCAAACAGCATTAATAACACGTAACTCATTGCTAAATACTATGTATATGGGAGATCTGAGAAATACTTGCAGATACGGCAACACAAACAGTAATGTGAATCTACATTTTAAATACTCAGATCCCTTAGGGGAAGGCAAAATTCAAGACAACTGTTTCCAAGTTGTGGCATGCATATAGGATAAAATAATTAAACTATTGGGAGTGGGCGGAAGGAGAAACAGGATAACTTTTTCTCATCTTTGAATCTTGGGAACTAATTCTGCGAAGAGGCTGCAACACCTTATTTGAAAATGTTGCCATCTATGCACAACTACTTTCAATTCCATAATATTTGTTCCATGTTTGGGAAGGGTTTTTTTTTAAGCCACAAAGAGCAAAACCAATGCTTTAGCGTAGATTCTTCCTTTTTTATGCAGAACATCAGGGACACTTCTCCAAAGAAAAGCAGGATATCAACTGATTAAAACTCAGTAAGTGATGAATAGCCACAAGCAAATAGTTTAAAAAGTTTCAAGGATATTGACCAATATAAGCACTGGAATCTCTGAAATAATTGCATACTGAATGATGAATGCAGGATTTCCTACTTGAGTGAAATAATGTTACTTGGAGATAAATTTAAATGTGAGAATTAGGCTTTTCGAGAGCCTCTAAAAGAAGAATCTTTAACACCTGTTTTAAGTTTGTGTTCTCAGGTCACCCACCCAGCCGCCTAGGCTCTAATTTAATTTCACAGCTGCTGCGTCCACCTTCCCCTATATGCTTACATTTAAATATTCCTAAAATCAATGTTTGGATTAGCCTTTAAATGGGTCTTAAGGATCTAAGAAGCCCACAACAAGGAAACATGAAGACTGTGAGAGATTTAAAAGGTTATCTGAACGGCAATTCTTGTACTTCTAGTAATCTGTTATTCCATGAAATGAAGTGTTTATGTTCAATTACCAGAGTAAACAATTGCCCTCTCACCCTCCCACTTGAAGCAGATGATGTTACTTAATTTCTGAACACATTCCTGGTTTCCCATAAAACATTCAAACAGTTTTGTGAAGGACCTCTAACCTAGCGGCTCCTCCTGAGTTGTTGCTACTCAAGCAGCAAGAACAATTATCAACCTGCATTCTTTACTCCTCAAACCTTAAAACTCTGTCTGAACTGTCTTCAGCTTAGCGTGAGTAAGGGAAGCTCTATTTAAAGTAGGCTTCATAATAAAAATACAGCCTAAGAGCTGTTTTTCAAAACAGACGTGAATAGAATAGTTCATTCTTAAAAAGGAAGTACTTAAAAAGGAAGCAGATATTATGGTGTGGCTGAGCAAGAACAAAACAAAAAAGGAATTCTTTGGTTTATGAGCCCATTTTTGGCACACTGAAATGTAATTAAGGGCACTTACTTAAAATTAGATCTGAAGTCTAGCTTAGTCATGAAATGACTTGGCATACATCAAATCTGTGCATATTAAAAAAAAAAGTGATTCTCTTGTCTGCTAGGAATCCCCTCATCTGACATTATCAAAATCTCAACATAACATAACATAAGAGTTTGGATTTTTTTAGCATAGTTCCTGCAAGTGCAGGATCTGGTTTTTTTTTCTCCAGTTCAACTCAGTGTTGAACTGTTGTCTGAGCCAGATGTTGTGGGCTGAGACAGAGTGACGGATGGCCCACAGTCTCCCAACGAGCTTTCATGCCTAAAATGGGACTAGAACTGGTTTCTCCAAAGGCAAATGTCCTTACTATTATGAAAGAAAAGCTAAGGTATGGACGTGGGCAGTTAATTTATCAGGAATATATAAATGTTGTTTTCAAGTATACAAAAAGCTATATCCAACATTAGTCAAACTGATTTTTGTTCCCATGACTAAAATAACCTTTTCCTTCCACTCTGTCCTCATTAAATCTGCTGGGGGGAGGCGGAGATCCCTTAATATTGGAAAGGAGAGATTTGATCTGCTACTTATGACTACTCTTTTGGCAGAAAGACACTGCAGGATACAATTCAAAAGCAAGCATGGAAACCCAATACAAATTACCTCTAACTATGTGCTTGTTACCTCTAACTTCACATTATATTTGCCTATGCATATTCACCATTTGATAAAATAGCATCACGTGACCATAAAAATGTTTTATTGCATTTTTATGGTTTAAAACCTTTCAAACCTAGTCCCTCTGAAACATTAGTTCTTAGACTGAACCTGAATTTGATTGAATCAGCTTCACACATTTATATACAAAACCCTTATTCTTAATGTACTAACTTTTTTTAATTTCTAGAAACTGAAACTTTAAACAAAACCAGGCATCTCTGACTGATAACAGAACCTCCAGTAACCACAGGAATGACAAAACCTTTGTTCCCATTCAGCAATGTTTCCATTAGAAAACCCTGACTGCTACCAATTCAGTAACTTAGGGTCTATTCAAAAATGAGTGTATGGAAGGAACGTACGGCCTATAGTAAATGAAGGTGTTCAAGTTTCCAAATGTTACATTAACAAAGATGGTTTTTAAAGCATCATTAAGTGCATATTTATATTTAACAATTTATTAAGTCTTTAATTTTAGTGAGTTGAGCATACTTCAATAGCTGTCCAATAATATAATCTTCAAGAACAAGACAAAAATTATATGACATTTGCAACATCTCTCTTTCGAGGAGAATGAAGCCCTTTACTTTCATTTCCAATGTTCATAACAATCAAAGCTTCAAAGAGCCTGATAGATAAAGCACTGGGCTTACTTACATTTCCTATGTGATGGGCGTGATCATATTCTATGTGGGTTCGGGAGAGGGAGTTAGAATGTCCCGGATAAACCCCAGTTCCTCCATTGATAGCGCCATTCATGATCCCATTCATTCCATTAGCAACCTTATGATGGACGTGGAGGCATCCATTATTATGTTTTCCATTACTGATAAAGTTTCCATGGACGCCACCATTAATGCGGCTTGTGCCTGGTAGCGTTGTATACTGAACCATCTGTCCATTGATATCTGTCCCTTGGTAGAGATAGCTGGGAGGGTCATACTCTGTAGAAACAAGGAAGAAAAAAAATCCTTTAGAAATTGCAACAAAACTTAGATGCACTGCATGCAGACAAAGATCTCGACCTATTTTCCCCTGCATTTATATACCATGTCAATTAACAGTTTTAGTCTATAGCAAATCTTACAATAGGAAGAATCTTCCTAAGTATAATTTAAAACAAACAGCAGAGTTGGCTTCACTTAAAAATAAAAATGAATCTCTGTGAGCCTTAATCTTCATTAGCCAAATCAGGAAGGCATGGGGTCAGAGTAAGCATTAAATTTCATAGCATATTTACAAATTCGTTGTCTTTACTTATATTCTCATTTAAGTGGAGTTCATGATAAAAATACATAGCAATACTTATGGGTTACATTGTTTCATGAATTTAGCAGTCAAGGTCATGTGACTCAATCAATCATACTTTATCATGGCCAGGGCTAGGAATAGTAAGCAGTAGTAAAGATTAAAATAAAATAGTAAAAACACTAATAAAGTTGGTTAAATAAAATAAAGTATTGGATGATATCAAAATAGTTAACAAATATCCTGAGTCTTAAACATAGGTTGGTGTTTCATTTTTATTACTACTACACAGTTTTTTGTTATAACCTGCATTATAGAGGATTTGCAGGCTGAGAAAAATAAACTCCTCTAGAAATTGTCTTTTCTTTCACAGTAATGATAAAGCAGGTGTGAAATATATCGAGATGTGGAAGGTACAGACTTCAACGGATAGTTAGGGCTGCAGAAAAAACAATCACAGCCAGCCTGCCTTCCACTGAGAATCTGTGTACTGCATGAAAAAGGGGACTGATAAAATACCTACAGACCCCTCACATCCTGGACATGATCCATTTCAACTTCTCCCTTCAGGATGCTGCTACAGGATGCTGCATGCCAAGATAACCAGGTCGTTTTCCCCCTGTGCCATCACTCTGCTGAAAACTTAATCCCCACAACACTGTCTCATTTCTCATCTTCCCTACTATCTTCTCCTATTGGCTTCTTATGATTTACCATCTGTTTTGTAATTTATAATTAATGATTGTAACTATGATCTATGTCTTATTAATAAAATAGGGTTTTTATGCATGAAAAGGAACATACTTTGCAAGGCGTTTTGCTGACGGTTCTTCCATAAACACATGGCAATAAAGACAATCAGAATGAAAACCATCACTCCAAGGACACAGGCAACTATCAGGTACAACATGTTGCCACTCCGCATTGAACCATTTGGTTGACCTGCATTGCTCCCAATTCCACGGTCAGGGAAATTAGGTGGTGTACTAAGGTCTTTTACTGGGTATTCAGATGCTCCAGGTGATCGTTTCACTATTTGGAATTAAAGCAAAAAGGTTGAATGAAAAAAAAATGGTAAATGCAAGTATTATTCTGACCTTAGGCAGAAATTCAGCAACAACTGAAAATGCTTTAAAATTATTAAATCCATTCGTTATACAGTACTATTAAAATTAGATGCATTTGTTTTAGCATACAATAAATAATCACAAACAATCATAGAAAAATGAAAAAACTGAGAGGGACGGTAAAGATTGACATATTATTCTACTTGCCTTCAGTTTAAAGAGCACTGTTTCAATTTAGAAAGGCATAATAAAGTATATGCTAGTTAGACAATGTTTCTCCCCTTTTGATAAACATTGCTTTTAAAAACTGACCAAGTTTCCTTATTAATAAGCAGATTTATGATCAGAAGCAACAATGATGGATGACATCACCTAGTTTGGTAATGAAACGTCTGCAAGAAAACCACCAAGCTCAGAGAGCACCAAAGATCCCACAACTGTTTCTTACCTTTGGTTTCACATATCATCACATTGCTGTAGTCACTTTCTCCTCCTTCGTTGTAGCACTGCATTTTAATATCATACGATGTTTCAGGTTGTAGGTGACTTATCAAGTGCCATAGTTTTGTGCCTGGGAAAAGAAAGAGCAAAGAGAAATGCTATTTAATAGAACTGTATTCTTTCAAATGAAATGCATTATAAAAAAGGTATAGAAAATCTTATAAGAGACAAAAGTTAAGTCTATTAACCTCTGCATTCATCAAATATGTACAAAAAAAGCACAGTTAATTCCTAAATTAAATCACTGATAAATCTGATAAATTGTTTTTATATGGTCAGTTTAGGCAAAGCAGTATCTTCCATGTCAGCCTTTTCTAATCCGTTGATCTCTAAAAGTATGAATACAAAAATGTAATATATTCAATGGGGCTACTACTGTACATTCTTAATAAGAATATAATTATACAAGGATAATATTTCCATCTTATTTAACAAGGACTTGTGCACTGATCTTACCTTCTACAACATCTCGCTTGTAATCACTATCATTGTCACTATCTGTTGGGCGATAATAAATGTAAAATCCTTGGATAGGCGTGTTGTTATTACTTGAAGTAATATACTAAAATAGAAATGTTTAAACATGTGAGAATTCAGAACATTCAATAAGGAATAAAGATGTAGAAGAGATAGATTTAATGACACTGCTAAATGAAACTGAAAAAAACCCACCCAATTTAAACTTAAGCACTACCTAGGGAAAGAATTAATTTTATAGTATATTTCCATCTTCAGTTTTTAAAATTAACTTACATATTCAATCATTAAAAACTGAAACAATTAGAATTAGAACCTAAGATTTTTTAAAAAGATATCAGCATTTAATATGCTATTTTCTTTGAATATTCTAGTATATTCTCATCACTCACTCTTACTTTTTATACTGCACTAAACAATAAACAATATAAACTACCAAAATGGAAAATGACCATATGCAAACCACAGCCTGTTTAGAACAGCATTTGTAGAACACATGTGAAATGTTCAAAGTTCTTTAGATGGCACTGTCTACACCTAACCATCTAAGAGTGCAGAGCTTTGTTCTAAGACAGTTAGTGAACAAACTGTTTTTATTGTGCACACAATACCTTTCAAAAACATAAAACATTATTTCTAGAAAAAGAACTGGAAACTTACAGTCCACTTCAACATGATCTGGGTGTCACTGACTGCTTCAGTATAAGCAATGTGAGGTCCTGCAATGGGGCGGTTGGAATATCGGTTGGTAAAGCCAGCCACGTTATATGGTCGAGAGGGAGAACTTCGAGGGCTTTCCCCATAATTATTAACAGCAATTACACGAAACTTATATGCAGTTCCTTGAAAGAAAAAGAAGAAGGGGTGGGGGGGGGGAGAGAGTGAGAGAATATGAGATTAAATAAATACCATTCTGGGGAAGGAGAAATGGCCAATATTAGAACAAGGCATGCATATAAATACCTGGATCCAAATTGTCAACTTCCACTGAAAGTTTAGATGGAGAGATATTATCTGCTGCAATTAGCCATTCATTATTTCTGTTAACACGTTTATATTCTACTTTAAAGGCAGTGATGGGTGATCCACCGTTTGCCCGTGGGATCCAAGTGACATAAACGGAGGTTTCTGATGCTGTTGAAATAGTAGGCCGATCTGGTGCCTCAGGAACTAGAAAAGAAAATACACAAATCTTCATATACAATCGTGTACCAAAAAAAAACACCAAATTGATTTTTATATCTGTAGGTTGTTTGTCAGTCAAATTAAAAAGATACACCCAATGTTTAAAGGGCTTATGGAATGGACTTGAAGGACAGAAAAAGGTAACAATCAGAGAAGCAGAGAAGCCCATTTCAAGAAGCTGGTTTATGTTTCAGACAGGCCCCTCACTAGTTCACACGAAGATAAAAGGAGGGATGGGGGAAGGGCATTCAAGAGTCACAAAATTCCGTTACTACAATAGAAGTATTCCTGACCTGTATGGCATGGGTTTCTTAGTCGGTTCTACACAAGGTAATTTAAGACTTAATTCTAATCCTTCTTGAAATGCAACTTTTTTTCCAGTTTTCAAAGACAGAATCAAAGCTACGTATGGAACCAATCAAACAAGCCAAAAGATGTACTGGCTGCTACAATTTATTGACAATCCTATGCAACAATAGTGAGTTAAGCCAGAACATATGGATCTTGAAACATTAGCACACCAAAGAGAATTGCATAACTTAATTCACAACCATGGAATTCCTCTCTCTTTCTCTTCTTTCTTTCTTCTTTTTCTCTCTCTGTTTCTTATGTAATGTTGTTATGTTATTTTTTTAATTGTAAATTCAATAAAATTTATATATATAAAATTCACAACCATGGAAATGGACACAGAACCAGTTAATACCAAAGTAAGTTCAGCTTATTTTAAAGAAGCTAAATAGGTTTTTGCATGATAGCGAGTCTAAAATGTAAAGTGAAATTCGCAGATTCATGAAAACTTTTGTTACTATCTCTCTTAAGTATTAGCAGCTTAAGTACTTTGATACAGTGGTTAAGGCACCAGGATGGAAACTAGGAGACTATAATTCTAGTCCAGTGTAGGCATGAAGCCAGCTGAATGATCTTGGGCCAGTCACTCTTGCTTAACTCTAGGAAAAAGACAATGGCAAACTACTTTTGGAAAATCTTGCCAAGGAAACTGAAGGGACTGCTCCAGGCGGTCCACAGGAGTCAAACATTGACTCAAAGGCCCCTTCCCCCACCAAAAAGCTAGTATTCAAAACCATGCAGATTACATTAATACTTACTGAACTCACTTGAAGTTAGATAGCAGTGGAGACAGAAAAAGGGAGAAAAGGAATGTTAGTAAGTCTGATTACAATCATTATCTGAGATATTATCCCAAAACTTTTTTGTATGTTTTATATCAAGTTGTACAAGATACACCATGAAGAAAAGAAAATATTTAATTGGAAAAAGAAAGGTACAGTGTAACACTGAAAAACTATATTTTTAAGATGTTTCTAACTTACCTTTGCACATTGACTCAAATAATTCAGAATGCTCATTACTTTTTTAACAGAATGAATATTATATTCAAGATATGAAACCTGACTGGATTGTTTGAAATCAATTTATAATAACAAAACTATTTTGAAATGCTTTAGAGTTGGTGGTGTATAATGTTCTAGCTTTTGAATAGTTTGTTGAGGGTTTTTGGACATTTTAATGATATATGTTATTGTTTTATTATATTGACCAGTCATAACAAATTGGGATAGCCCATAAATCTCATAAATTATAAAATCTGCACATTTTTGCAATATAACCAGAGTGACAGAACACGCCCTATAGTAGCATTTATTTTAGTAACAGAAAACATTTAACTAATGTTAAAACTCTAAGTATAAATTCCTTTAATTCTAACACCTTGGCATATAACCTAAAGCTGCTTCATAAAACAAATGGCATGGAAAAACAATAGGATAATCCAAGCCCTGATACTATACAAATTGCAAAAATTTTGAATTAAGCATAATTATGCTATTATCACAGAATTATGCCAATGTTCAGAAGCAGGATGTTGCTTCTTGCTTCAAAAGAAGAATTGATTGCTTCCCGAAAAAAACATTTAAACATCTAAAACTGTCTAAGATCATTAAATTAAATGACCCACTTATTTTCCTCAGCAGAGGTTTCACAAAACATTGGAGCAGAAGTGATTTCTGGTAATACTGTCTAAATCATTAACCGCAACAAAGGAAGCAGCCTCATACAAATTCAGTCTATTTATCCACCTATCTTATTATGACAGATAGACACACAGACACATTTTCCAGGTACCGGGTCCTGGTGAATCATCTGCTACTTAATCTTTAAGCTACATAGTTTGCATGCAAAGCATATATTCTATCACTGAACTAAACTCAAAGGAAGAGTTCAGTGTTTGGAAAATGTGCTCTCTTATTTTCTTCTGAAATTTCTTCTGTTAACACACAAGTGACCTTGGAAGTGCACAACTAACAATGTTTGAAAGGCAGTTTCTAAAGTACATTATTTTTAGATTTATTGGTGGGACTTACCGCCACTGTGTCGAGACAGATCTGGAAGGACCACGCCAAAATTGTTGGTTGTTCCTTCTTGAATGACAGAATGCTTAGGAATGCCGATTGGTTGAGAGGGTGTCTGTGAGGTTTTTGAAGAGGATGACCTTTCTGAGAAAAAAAAGATGTGTATTCAGGAAATAATTTAAGGTGTCTTAAGGTACTTTTCGAGTCTTTTTAGTGTTAGTCCCTTACATCTTATTTACATCTTGTTCTATGCTGAACAGCGGGCAACAAAAATGCTGAAAACCCCTGTAATCTACTCATGTTGCTTTGTTTAATTACTGATACTCAAGGAAAGCTTCCACATGAAAATGAGCTAATGGAATAGGCTCAGGAGAGACTCTGGGCATCCACAAGTATATCAATGTGAAATGTTTAAGAAATGCTCTTCCACATATGAAACATCTTTGACAGAGTTGCTCATGGGACAGGGAATCTGATTCTACCCTGCTCTGGCATTTCCTCTGCTGCTTTGGGGAACGAAAAGGAACTGTTTGTTAGGGGAAACATGCCAGAGGTTTCCTAGTGTGCAAACTTCAGGAAAAATGTCACCTAAAATATATTTCAGGGAATAATATGAGTGGTCTAACAAAAGCTTTTTTACCTTTGCTTGTACGAAAAGTAAGCATGGAAGGCTGACCTTCACCAGCATCATTTTTTGCAACCATCAAGACTTCATATAAACTGGAAGGTTCCAGTTCTGTAAGACTAAGTTCATTTTCACTTCCAGGAACTCGAATTGTATACCAGTTAGTAACATTGCCATCCAGCTGTAAAAGGAGAATTAAAAAGTGATAGCAAAAACTTAAGTTTACAGGAAGGTAGGTAAACAATTTGCTGGTTCTAATGTTGAACTGTATTATTTATATCAGGGGTGTCAAACTCACATCACGGCAGTGTCACGTGACACATCGGGACTTTCCCCCCCTTCACTAAACTGGGCATGGGCGTGGCCAGCACATGACGCAAGTTTGACAGCCTTGATTTATATAGTAGCCATCTGGCTATCAAACTGTATTTAAAAACAAAAGCAGAGGCACAATGAAATGCTTAGGATCGCCACGTAAGTTCCTTCACATACTTCAAAATGTAAATTTCAATCTTCCTGTAATACAAGGCCCAAAGATGTTTAAAACAGGCCAACTTTCATGAATTATTATTACTGCCAATGCTTTAAATTGATGTAGAGCAGCATCCTATTTTTACTCTCTCATCGCTAATACCAGGAAAAAAACCAAGTTTTTTTTAAGCCACAAAAACTAATATTTACTTAGAGCCAGGATAGTCCTACCTTGCGATATTTCACAAAATAAACATTGATTGGCCGACCACCATCCTTTCCAGATCGCCAGACCAGGTTATACTGGTCTGGCTTAAGTGTTTGTGGAGGGCTGAGAATGATGGGAGCTTCGGGTGGGGAAATGCCACTGGATGTTTTTTCTGTAGTGGTTTTGTCAGTCAGAATCTTGGCCGGAGACTTTCTGGGGAGACCCGTTTCTGAATCCAGATCTCCATCTCCATCATCGTTCTGAGCAATTTCAAAAGGTGGAGCGTCTGTTTTTGTACTGGCTTCATAGGGAACTGCAGAAGAATGTGAAGATTAAAAGCAGGCATTGTCTCAAAGATCTTTACAAATGACACTTCACACTATCACTTCTCCCGTCGACCTTTCTTTGTAACTGAACCAATGTATACCATCACAGAGTGATTTATAACTTTTTAAAAAAAGGAAATTAGATTATAGCAGCAAATAAGAACAGTTTTTAATTGCAATGCAAGGGTTCCTATGGTTTCTAGATTCTTATATTCATGGCTAAATCTATGTTGAAAATAACAATAGCAGTAGCACTTATATACCGCTTCATAGAATTAGAATTAGAAGAACGTTATTGTCATTGTACAAGTACAGCGAAACTGTGGATGCTTTACAGCCCTCTCTAAATAGTTTACAGAGGCAGCGTATTGCCCCAAACAATCTGGCTCCTCATTTTACTGTCCTCTGGAGAATGGAAGGCTGAGTCAATCTTGAGCCAGAGATTTGAATTGCTAGCAGCTGTCGGTCAGCAGATAGCCTGCAGTATTGCATCCAAAATGCTTCAAATGCAGGTAATCTTCAACTTACAAGTTTGTTTAGTGACCGTTCAAAGTTACAATGGCATTGAAAAAAAGTAATAGATAGGATTTGTAAAGTAAGCATTTCATTGTGCAACACTTTATGCCTTCTTGCCTGCCTCTGCTGAAATACTAATCGGTTTGCTGTGGGTAGCTGATTCATTAAAAATGAAGGAGGGAGAGTTTAATTGTTTCAACATGAATACTAATGTGTCAGCAACATCAGCAAGTTGAACCCAGCTGACCTCAAAACATAACACTCATTATAATCTCAAGTCTGTGGTTATAAGTGTTGTTTATAGGCCACAATTCTAGAAACAGACAGCTATGGTTATTTAAATAATTCAATTTGCAAAGATCTAGCACAGAAAGAGCATGTTTCAACATAGAAAGCAACAGAAATGTGATGAGCTATAAAATGTATAATTTTACAATGTGGCAATTTGTGGATGTTCAATTAGTGCAAATGGACCAAACATTTGCACATTATTTAGTAAGACAATTGGGATGGCACTCACCAACTGTAAGGAAAGTCTCGGAACGAGCAAGTCCATAATCATTTGTTGCTTCACAGATGTATTTCCCAGCATGCTCTGCTGTTAGAGGCTGAATATATAAGGAACTTGACCCACTGCGAGACATAATGAAGTAGGCTCTGTCTGCAATGGAGTTACTGCTTCTTGACTGGGAGGATGACTTATGTGATTTTGAGTAGAGCATCTGTGAAGGATGGGTGCTAATTATTCCATGCCTGTTGTACCAATGAATTACAGGGGTAGGCAATCCAGTGGCATTACATGACAATGACACAGTGTCGCCCTCTATCATTTTGGTATTTGCTGGAAGTGAAGTTATAATTGGCTTGGAATTTTTGTCTGGTTAAAAAATGAAAGCAGAAAAAAATACTATTTACTAAGAGAACTGAATTATCATCGGAGACTAGATGAATAGAAGAAACTTGGATTGGTAGAGAAAAATAGAGGTCCAAGTGATTGTTTTTGTTTATTTTAAATATTTACATACTGCTTTGCACGAACTACTTCATGAATCAAATTAATTGTCTTATATGTTAAACAACCAAAGAGAAGAACGAGTATAGTAAAGGGGGAAGGAATGGGAACCTTCAAATATTGTAGGTATTTATTGTAGGTAACAACAATAGCATGCATAAGTTCTGAAAAACTTAATACACAAATGGATGACAATTCACAATTTGTGCCATCTGCAGTAAGAGCTCTGTGGATAATTTTAGAGGCCAGGCAAGTTTATAATGAAAAAGATTTCCTAGCAGTGTCAAAAATTGGCCAGATCTTACAATTCAATGCATAGCTCAGTGGTCAAGATTTACTCACTAGAAATAGCCCACAAACCCACAAGCCATTTCTGTATATACTAAAGGGAGATAGGATAGAAAAAAAATGTATCAGGTGCTTTTTACCTGCTTGGGAATGACATCTCCCAGTGGACTGTGAAAATCCAATGCCATTGTTTACTAAGCACTGATACAATCCTGTGTCTCCTGGAGCAATTTGATTTATTCTCAGCTTGTTTCCTGAAGGGAAGTGCCGGGAAGAAAGATGGATGGGAATTCCATTATGGTACCAGGTAACATTAGGTGAAGGATTTCCATGTATTTCACAGGAAAGATGCAAAATTTTGCCCCAAGACACTAACTGATTTTGTAATCCTCTTGATATAGAAGCGGGTTCTAAAACCAAAGAGGAAAAAAAGAAAAAAAAGGAAGCATTATATCCCGTTTCATTCTTTTGTGGCAGCAGCCTTTTGACACTGAATTTGTAAATTAAAAATTGTCATCGTACCAAGCACATTTATGCTGTAGTTCACGTATTTCACAACTCCGGAATTATCTTGGACTACACAGGAATAATTTCCCGCATCAGATAGATCCACAGAATCAATGGTAAGATGAGAATGAAAGAGCTTCCATCTGTTCTGAATTAGCACATCTCTGCCATCTTTATACCAGTGAACATAAGAAACCGGCAGCCCACTAACTACACACTCCAACATCAGAGGTCTATGTTGAGGTATTGCCAATGCCTGAGAACTGGTTGGATAAAGAATATGAAAATCCGCTGAGGAAGAGTCTGCAAATTGAGGAAAAAGTTAGCGTGAGCTTTTCTAATAATCTATCTCAAATTCCTTGGATTCCTAAGTTGTTTTCCCCCCACAAAGTATTTTGCTTTGTTTGCAATTCTTATATACTTTTTGTTGTAACTATACACTGTGGATGTTAGGTCACAAAATATTTAATTGTAATCTGTTATCTGTAATATTTGGCTAAATTCAAAGCCTGTAAAAAGACTACATTGTTTAAATTGCCAAGCTTACTCTGTCATCTACTACAGTTATTATGATTTGCTCATCTTAATAACACCTGTTCTGAACTATTTTAACGTGGGAAATCGCCTTATATCAAGCCTCTCCATTAGTCTATCTGGCTCAGCATACTCTAGCAAAGTACCACAGGTTTTATACCCTTTCCCAATTCTAGCTGGACGTTCTATGGACTGGAGACCTAGATACAAAAAAAAAAAAAAAATTCCCATGATGTGCACAACCAGGTTTCAATATCAGCCAGTTATTAGTTAAAGGCTAGAAATGCTTCACATCCTTAATTCTGGAAATATTCATTCACATACAGCATTTAACAATGAATATAATCACTGATAATAAGACTTATCAGAAAGCAGACATTCCAATAAAATACTAGATGGATGATAGACCTAGCAAAACAATGGCATTGCACCTTGACAGTTTAATTACACTGATATATAATACTCACTACTGATTACGAGCTTATGTCCGGTTGGTTCAAGTTTGAGATCATCAGTAACTGGATTATACGCTGCACACTTATAAATTCCCTTGTCATCTGGAGATACATTCAAAATTTGCAGATTTCCAGATGGGAGAATAAGGTAGTTTTCTAATAAAAATAGAGTTATTTTAATTAGACTGCAAAGAATATAAATTGATTTTTCTGCTGGAAATACTGTGTTTAACTTGTATCATATGTTAAAATGCAAACTTGCAGCAGTTCTCAATAAGCTAAGGGACATAGAAACTTGCCTGTTGATTGTTCCAGCCATTTTCCCCGTACACGGAAGCGAATCTGTGCTTTTGGATTGCTTTTTGGTAGCTTGCAACCTATTAAAGCAGTATTCCCTTCTTCCACTGAAATTGTGTTTCTCCATGAAGATTCAAAATCATCAAGATCTAGAAAAAATTAAAAGTGTTTTGTTTTGTTTTGTTTTCAACTTTTGGTAGATTTTGCAGGTCTTTACCAAAAGCATTTTGTTTAATATAAGTTACTGCTTTCAGTTGATTGGATACTGAGTTTCCCCTTCCCAAAAATAGAAAAGAAAATAGTAAAAGCCTGGTATGTATTGTCAACCCTAGTAATTTGGCTGATTAAGTGTAAATCCAGCTACAAATGTGCCTTAATGGAGAAGCTTTAGTTGTCAGGTTCTTTATACAACTTGAAAATCTGTTTTTTTTTATTCACAATGTTAAAAGGTGAGTGTGCAACTTTAGGTTTCAAAATAACACAATATCCTAATCAAGGAGGGAATAGGAACAGCTTTAATTCAACTATCTGTCCAACTAGTATCACAGTGCCTAATAGGGATTGCCCTGTTTACAACATATTTTTCCCCAGCCAATTTGTTCCCTGTGCAACAAGATAGATGATGTATGCCAAGGGTCTTCAAACCTGGAAGTTTAAGACTTATGGACTTCAACTCCCAGAATTCCTCAGCTAACATAACTGGAGTAGGAATTCTGGGAGTTGAAGTCCACAAATCTTAAAGCTGTCAAGTTTGAAGACTCCTGATGTATACCATAAATAGTTGCTCTTTCGAGGGCTATTTATTGTACCTACATTAAGCCATGTTATGCATTATGGCAGGGGTACCAAACTCATGGCCTGTGGGCCGGATGTGTCACGTGCTGGTCCTGTCCCCTCCCGGTTTAGCGAAGGGGACAAAAGTCCCAATATGTCACGTGATGCTGCCGTGACAACACGAGTTTGACATCCCTGCATTATGGCATGCAAAGCGATTGAATTTTATCTGTGTTATCATTTATATTTCACATCTAGCCATTTTGAATAGTCACCTTGTGCCCTTTTGCAGCACAGCTGACCAAAATAGCAAATGACCCAATTAGCTAATCGATAAATACTAGGACATTAGCAGCAGAATCTTAACAGGTAATCAAATGTTTGCCAAATAAAGTGAAGTTTAATGCTTGTGTTTTCTATGCTGACCTAAATTAACTGATATCTCAATTATAACTTGATAAACAGCTACTTTGCTTACATGGCAATTCCATGCAATCCTGGTTTTGCTGCAGTCATTTCATCAGCCATCAGTACAGTACAAAAGGCACTTAATGTATTCAGTGTTTTCTACAGTCCTTAGCATCTGTAAGTACCAACTAATGTTCATAAGCTCTCAAGAGGATCTTGCTATGGGTCAGTACTCTACAAAAACATTTATTCTTCTCAATTATGAGAAGTTTTTCTCTTATGGGTATTTTGGATATGCTTCAAAAGCAAAGTATATTTATAATGGAAATGTATCAAGCTCAGGCATAAGAAAGGAGTAATTCAGACGTTTTATTTCTGATCTGAAGTAGTCAAATTACCCTCAACAGAAATAAGTCTTCTGTGTAGACATGGGGGAAGGGAGAGGCGGAGAGAAGAAAGCAGTAGGGCATATTTGTTTCCACATTGTTTAAATTACCAGCTGAACATTTTGCAGGGTTGATAAGTTGTAAAAAAAAAGTATTTAATAATTGGGACTGCTCAACACTTAGTATTTGAAGGCAGGCAAGCACAGCACCTGCCTTAGAAGAGAATCTACATTTTACTGGGATCAGATGGTTGCATTTTGTGTGTGACTAAACCTACTCTGAAATAATCTTTGTTTAGAGATATAAAATGCTCAGAAACAAAAGAGGCCAATGGGAAGAATAAAATTTTTATGAGATGCAACAGTTTCACCATCAATCAGAATATAACTTACATGCTACAGACACAGTTGCAGGCTTGCTGATTATTGCACCAATACTGTTATTAGCAAAACACTGGTAGGTTCCAGAATTTGAAGGGCTAAGAGAGAAAATGGTAAGGGATCCTGGTTGTGGGTCTACTTGCTCTATTTTCTTATGCAATTTCTCTCCATTGAATATCCAAGAGAGATGAGCTGTAGACGGTTCAGCGGAACAGTAAAGTTTTATAGTTGCTCCTGGCTTCTGGACGGTAGAAAGAGGTTCAGAAATAAAGTGAGGAATCAACTCTGGGGAAGGAAAAAAAGACACACATATATGGTGTTTATCACCATTGTCACCTGGCAGACATTTATCAGTCAAAAAGAGAACATTAGGAACATACCAAGGAAAGTGAATTTACCTGAAGCTGCAGTGGAGAGGAAAACTGTAAGAAAAAGCAGTTCGTGTGAAGGTACTGGATCAGGATGCATAATGCCAAGTTACAAAGGCTGGTGGCAGAGTAATATGACTCAATGAGGAACCTACAAAAGAAGACAGTTGTGGGCAACATCTTCAAAGCACATTTTTCATGAGTGAAAATGTAAGGCTTAAGTATGTATAAAGGTAAGTTGGCATTTAACTTCATGGACACCTCCATGTAATTTTCCTGGCAACATGACAGAAACAGCATGGCCTTTCCTCCTTCAGGTACCGCCTGCTAATCTCATCTCAAGTACTAACCTGGGCTGATCCTGCTTAGTTTCCAAACCCAGTCAGCTAGGTGTTGACAGCTAACATAGTTTCAACTATATGTACCAGAACTAAAACACAGAATGGAAAGCCTTTAATACCCTCAATCTTTTTACTTGTAGAAACATGTATGAATCTTGTTATTTTTAAGTTCACAGCACGTCCACAATTCTACAAACAAATTAGGTATCTTACCCAAAGGAAATAATCCCAAACAGCTTCAGCCTTGTTGGCTTCTGCTGCTTTTATATAATAAACTATAAATATTAACCCTTAATTTTTTGAAAATTCCCCTCCCCCCATATGTTCTTTTGTGGCAGAAACAAAAGTTTGGGACCATATCAGAAAAAAATATTTTGACACAAGGAATTTATACAAATATATTTATGCATGGTTCTTTACCAATGCTACATTTTTAAGACACTTTGGAAAACCTGTGACAGCATCTGGCGAGAATCACAAGTGAAGAGGCACAAATCAACCACTCCTTTGTAGAGAATAAAAATTAGGAAACTGATTGATTTCCATAAACTATGTAGTCGGACCAACAATGTCTTTAGCATAGCTTCCCCTATTGACTTTGTTGTCGGGAGCCAGCTGGGAAGGACATAAATGGTGATCACGTTACCCTGGGATGCTGCAACCATCATAAATAGATGCCAATTGTCAAGCATCCAAAATTTTGATCACATGGCTTTTGGGAGACCGCAGGGTTCTGTAGATTTTTATAATATTTGGAAGACCACAGGGTCCCCTACCTAAATTGTATACAATTCATATACAACCACACAGTGCTTTTAAGCCTAGAAAGTGAAGCTGGATTATAAACTTCTTGCCAAGGCACCTTTAAAGTAAAAAGTAGTGAAGCTACAGTATTTACACAGACATTCCCCCCTACCGCCATTGACTCTCCAATGAAGAACAGAGTATTGAATGGAATCCACATCATAAATGGAAGAGAGCTGGCATGCAAATATCACTAGGGGTTTCTTTTCTTTTCTTTTTGGCAAACAGCAATTAATAGTAGTAGACTACCAACAACGGATACGCTACCCATTAGTTTTAACTACAGGACTGATTTTGTTATTTAGAGAACTGTTAAATCTGCTGACAAGTTTATACATAACAGGCATTAGTATTTTCTCACACTAGATAATTTTCCATTAAACAAGGCTGTCCTTAATTAAGAGACCTGAGTGAAATGAAGACTAAGAAATATATATTTGGGCAGATTTTATGAGTTTAATAATCACAACTAACTACACCAGCACCTCTGGGGTTTATTTACTAGGCACTCCCACCTTTTCACAGGCTCAATCAAGTCAGCCAAGCATGCAAACTGATCCTGTCGCCAGCAAAAGCATTTCCTTTCACTGTGGTCAGCCAAAAACAGAGGAAGAAAATGGAAATGACTTGAAGTTATGGCACCAAACAGACCAGACAAGCAAGGAAATAATCAACTCCACATGAGCCACTTCTAGCCCATCACAATGAAAAGGGACCATGACCAGCCCCAGGAAAGGTCAGCAAGGGGGGTGGGTTTCACACACAGAAAGAGGCAGCAGCAAGAAGCTGCCAGCTGCAATAAGCATCAGTGTGTTCCGAATTATGCTCACAGAAGGACTGAGTTCAAAGTAATTTGATCACAAACTAATGCTAGCAATCATTAAAAAACCCTACCAATTCTATTCAAAATAGTAAGGATGTCTCCTGTATTTTGGTGGATTAAAATACAAGTTTGATGTCGCAAGGGAAAGAAGGAACAGAGACAGTGTTGGTTTCAAAGTTTCAGTCCTTCAACTGTATTCTTTAGAAATTCTCTGGCAGCAAAAGGTAAGTCAACAGCACTTCTTCCAAACAGAAAAAAATAGAAAACATATCTGCACATCACTGTAAACCACAGAATAAATAATTCTTGTATATTTGTAACAGGGCTTTCTTTTGGTCCATGCTGCTTGACTTCTACTATTATTCACTGTGGCTAAGAGTTAGTTGCATAGGTTATTTGACCTACAATATAATACTATACTAGTGGTATAAAAGTATCCTTTTTAAAAAATAATAAAAATGATTTCTAGCATTTTGGTTGTTACAATTAACTATCATCCTCAGTTCACTGTGACGGTAACCAGGCCTTATTAAAACTAAATCAAGAGTCTCAATGTTTCTTATCAATCTCTTTTAGTATTACTATATTTGTGATAAGCAGAACTGAGTCCTTTAATGGAGGATACTGCAGTTGCTTATCAAGAAAAAAGTGTTACAATTTAAACTGGCTCATGAAATTGCAGATGGTTTGAACTAAACTGTTTTTTGCCATTTTAAATCACAGATGTGTTCTACGAAAGATCTTTAGACAGCTAATCATGACATTTTCATAAGACAACAGATCTAAAGCAAAAGTAACGTGTTATCTTGTTGATCAACTATCATGTTTTTTAGGAAAAATACATAAAAGTGCCATCTTCTTACAGAAACTGTTAAATTCAACTTTTATAAACCATACAATGATTAAAGCAGGAAACACAGAGGTGGGTAGCCTGCAGTTCCACATTCCTTTTACCAGCTCCCAGATCTAAAGCTTGCCACCATCTCCCTTGGCGCTTCCCCCTCTTACTTTGGACACTAAAACAAAAAATAACTTTTCTTCAAATATGAGAAGCTCTAAAGTTATTTTTGATCAACGAATGCTTCAAGGCCTCAATTAAGCCTCATTTATTTTAGAAAATATAGGCAGTTCTCGACTTACAACAGTTCATTTAGTGACTGTTCAAAGTTACAAAGTTGAAAAAAGACTTGGGACCGTTTTTGACACTTAAAACCGTGACAGCATCCCTATGGTCATGTGAACAAAAGTTGCATGGTTGGCATCTGATTCATACTTATGACAGTTGCAGAGTCCCGGGGTCATGTGATCACCTTTTGCGACCTTCTGACAAACAAGGTCAGTGGGGAAGCCAGATTCACTTAATGACCGTATTACTAACTTAACAACTACATGAGTCGCTTAACTACTGTGGCACAAAAGTCATAAAATGGGGCAAAATTCACGTCACTTAGCAACCAAAATGCTCAGTTGTGGTCATAAGTCGAGGGCTACCTGTACAAACAACAGGTGAGGGCAGACCACTGCTTTGTTTGGGAAGGATGCCCCCTCTCCCCCTACCCACAAAGGGACAAGGATATGTAGGGTAGCCTGGTGCGGCCGTCAGAAGAGGGCTGGCCGTTGGGATGTAGAAATAACGTTCCTCCTCCCTGGTAGCCACTTACAAAGGGGCTGGTCCTTAGGAGCCCTCAAGACTCCAAGACTGCCCGCATCATTTTCCTATAGGCCAAATGTGTCCATGGGTTCAAAAGTCTGCTGACCCCTACTTGACAGTCTCCACAGAGGCTTCCTGCCATTCTGAAAAAGGAAACATAAATAACCTCAATAGAAGCCAATACCAACTCATAAAAGGCTTTTTCTATTTTAGACATGTCCATAATTTAGGTTGCCGATCTGCATTTGAAAGGTATCACTGCTAGACAATTCATTTTGCAGATATTTATTCCGCAGGCTGGTTTAGATCAGGTGCTTCAGATTTTCTGAATGTCAAAAAAAACCCATCCCACTCAAAGGCATATATATGCCTGCAGCTGTGTGACTACTGTGCAAACACAGGCAAAAAACCTGTTTCTTTAGGTACTGAGCACCCCCACTCCATATGAAGGCACTTTTCCCGCTTCAGAACATTTACAATACGAAAGCACAGCTATTTGTGTTGCAGGCTTTCCATTTTAGGAAAAGAAAACTATATGTTTTAGAAAGGAATATATAAATACACATCTGCAACCAGAATTTATAGTTACCCACTTATCTACTAATAAGTTATATCTGTGATGGCGAACCTATGGCACGCGTGCCACAGGTGGCACGCAAAGCCATTTGTGCGGGCACACAAGCCCCAGCCAAACTTACCTGCATTGCGCATGTGCCTGCCTCCCAGCTGATTTTCGGCCCGTTTGAGGCAGTTTTCGGCCTACCAGAGCCTCAAGGGAAACCTCTGCAGCCTCGGGAAGCTGAAAAATGGGCCTCCTAGAAATATCGGAAGTGCCCGTTTTCAGCCTCCGGAGGGCCTCTGGAGCCCGAGGGGGTTCGTTGGAAATGGGTCCGTTTTTCGGCCTCCAAAGGCTGCAGAGGCTTCCCTTGAACCTCCAGGAGGGTGAAAAAGGCCTCAAATGGGCTGAAAATCAGCTGGGAGGCGCATGCATGTGCAGTGCAGGTAAGGGGGCAGGGCACATTGCATTGTGGGTTGCCGGCACGCACATGCTTTCGACACAACAAAAAGGTTCGCCATCACTGAGTTGTATCAACAGGCATTAGAAACAGTTATTCTATGGCCAGAGGGGAAAGTACAGGCATAATGAATAAAATAACTCAGATTTGAACTCTGAATAATATCCAGGTAATAGAGATTATTTAAATTTGACTGAAGCATGTCACATACAAAATTGCTTAATTGTAGTTTCTATTTCTTTTATAATTCACTCAAGTTCCTATTATATTTTTTGGCATATTATACATACATAAAAAGATATTAACTCTAAAATTAAGATGCCACCCTCTACCCTGTCCCCCCAAAACTAAATAAAAAAAAATCTTCTTACTTTTGTCAGTGAAATGAACGCAAGCTTCCAAATCTAGTTTTCCTTTAAATAATATAGCTAGGAGAAGACAAGATGCAATAAGTACATCCTTTTTTTTAGCTTGTATTTTAATCTGCTGGCACTATTTATAGACTGAATATGAAAC